GGAGATGTTCTCGATATACGGCGGGGATGTGCTGTGGGACATTGTGGGGTGCTCCCTTGTAGGGCACAGATCTGAACTCTATTTTACCACAAAACAAGGAGATCAAATCAGCCCCCCACAAAGATTTCCCACAACATTTCGGCCATATATTGAACACATCTTTGGATGATAATATCAGAAATGATGATGTTATCATTAGGAAATATTCTCAATACACAACAGACACAACAGAGATATACTGTGAGACGTTGTGGAGAGGAATCTTGTGGGGGCTGATTTGAACTCTAAAACGAGGGCCAAAGATATGATAAGACCCATAAAAAAGGCGAGGTGGGCCCTCTAATTCTTTTATTTCCGCTGCAAGCTAGATTTTGTGACGAACTGGGCTTCAATGATGTCAGTCTGAAAATGTCTTGCCCTGGTTCAATATTTCTACCCCTCAACAACTAAGGAATATTTTTGTCTCTATATTCCTTAGGCAGTTACATATTTGGGTAGGACTTACGTTAGTCTACATCTGCTCTACTCCTCTGTTTAGATTTCTCTGCGCCATTAGGGTTCATAATCTGTGGGCTATAGTTCTTGGTAATTTCATTTGTTTTTTACACCAATTTCTTCATATTCCAATTTTTATACAAGTTTAGGAGGCGTTTGAGAATATAGTCGGTTTTGATTATCAGTTTTCTAAAAACCAATACTACCAGTTGGTTTAGAAAAAAGGCCAATAATTTGATTTACCAAACCATGAGCACCTCTAACTATAAAGTGCTGTGACGTGGGTGTGAGAAGAAAATCCGATTTATTGTTTTTGTTTTCAAAAACAAAACCAACCATATTGTCGAACACCCCCTTAGTGCCAGGTGTAAAAACCAATTGCCTTGTATAAATCAAGCTGATTAAGTCGAAGTGGCTAGAACAACAGATAAGAAGCGATTTTGTATACAGCCCAGAACAGAATGAAATACCAAAACAGGATTCACATTGAAGACTTTATATTATTGGGACAAGGCTTAGATGATGATGATTTTGTGAATGGAATAAAACCTTAATCACAGATCAAAATTTTATCATTATAAATAGCTTTCAAACCAGGGATGTGCCCAAATCATCATGGTAATTTTTTAGGAAGTAATTGAATTTCCATGTTTTCAACCTCTATTTTAGATTTTATTTAACCTTAATAGTCATCAATGACTGGTAATCAAATTTGTATACTATTAATTATAAAACAAAACTATTCAACAAAAATGAATGAACATTTATTTTTAACTCAAGACTACAAAACAGGATCTCCCTCACCTAGCATTCAAGAGCCTCTAATCAAAGAAAGGCAAAAGCTGAAGAAAGGTATTTGTATTGATAATGTAATGTTTTGCTCTTGACTTAGCTTTATGATTTAAGCTTTTTATGTCCTTTGTAATTTTCAGCTTGTTGCTTGCTTTTGAACAGTTTCCGTGTAGACACCTCTTAGTGAACAGAGATATGTCATGAAGGGAACAGCAAAACCAGGTTGCTTGCTCAGTCTTAGCTTTCAACTCAGAAGTGCACCTTCTTTCCCCAATCCAAGACTGATATGTTATTAGTAGGGGTGGATTTAAGCGGAGCAGGGCTGGCTATTCAAACTCGATTCATCAAAAAAAATTGAGTTGGGATCACCTGCCAACAAAACAAGTTCCAACAACAAATGAGATCTGCTCCACACACATGGGCGCCTCACATGCATGGTAGGATGTGCGTGTGAGGTTGGTGTGAAGCGCCCTGTGTGAGGAACAGATCCGGTCCCCCAACAGCCTACATCTCGCTATAAAACTGGGGCCCACCATAAAAGTGGGACCCGCCATGTATGAGATGTGCGGCATCAGATGTGGTTGGTAGGGCGTTGGAACACCTTTTGTTGGCAAGTTATCCAGACTCAATTATGAGGCTCGAATTCGACTGTGACCAAACTTCTTATAGAAATAAAAATAATATATTTTTTATTTTTTATTTATATATTTGTGTGTATATATATATACACACACTCAATTAGGCTCATGAACCGAGCTTTATTGGACTCGAACTCAGCTCAAAGATCGGTTTAGACTGAGCCGAATAGAACTTCACGAGCCAAATTCAAATAATTCATGAAAAGCTCAACTTGTATTTAGACCTGTTCATGGGCCGGGCTTTTACTCTTCATTAACAGAAATATGTTAGGCCCGAGCCCGAGCCCGGCCCGACCAACGGGCCTACAACTTGGGCCCGAGCCCGGCCCTAATAAAAAGCCCAAAGCCCGAGCCCGAGCCCGAAGCCCGACCTAATAAAAAAAATTAGAAATTTTCCCTATTCAATAATCAATATAAATCAGAATTTATTTACATTAAAAAAATATATAAATTCAAAATTTATTTATATTAAAAAATATATATAAAGAAGGAAAAGAGGATGTGGAGAAGAAGAATTCGGTTGGAAAAAGAAGGGAAATAGGTGAAAAAAAGAGGGGTATTCAATTAGGGTTTTTAGGTTTATTTATAGGTCGGGTCGGGCTATTTTGGCAAATCTCGAGCCCGACTCGAATTTATTGCGGGCTGGGCTTTTTGGCCCGAGGTTAAGCCCACGGGCCTATATACCTGTTCAAGCCCGTCCGGGGGCCGGCCCGACCCGGCCCATGAACAGGTCTACTTGTATTGACCCTTAGTTATTAGGGGCCCGTTTGGAAGGGCTTCAGCACTGATTGAGCTCATCGACTGAACTGCTTTGGAGAAGCTACCAAAAAGAGCTTCACCAGAAAGTAGATTTCTCAGCTCATGTAAGCATATTTTTAGCTTTCCAGATGCCTACCTTACAACGCCAGAAGCCCAATCCCAAATGGACACAATGTTTCACAGAGAAGGATGAATTTGATACATTCATTCATACGTTAGGTTGTAGCCAAAACTCCCATAGAACCAGATAGCTATGAAGTAGTAGATGCATCTATCTGTTAACCTGTTCAGTCAAATGTCTTTTTTTTTTTCTCATTCTTCTTCTTGGGTATCCAAAAGGTCTCAGCAGTACATACTAGCTAGTCTGTGTAAAGTCTTTTCCATTACTTCTTACATAAAGGTTCCCATCGTTGGTTGAGTCTATTGAGTATTTCATCAATTATGTGCCCTCTTGGGAGGGTTTTCAGGTAGCGGCTTTTGGCTTAATGAGTTACTCTATTTGATATGAAGAGTAAAAACCCTAGAAAGCCCGAACCTCCTGCCTTCTCCAAAGCAGCTCAATTGAAGCTTCAGCCCTTCCAAACAGGTCTTATATTTAGCTTGGCCAATCACTCAATCATTGGCTAACACCCCTCCTTAAACACTCAAAGCATTATTACAAATAGGCACATAGAAAACTCCCTAAATCCCTTTAAATGGTGTTTCAGTAGACTTAAAAAACTAATGTATCATACAATACGCACCAATATATTGTGATATTTTGAACCTTAACAGACCCACCCCGATGGATAGTCTGTTATAATATGTATATAATATGCTATTTTACATTATGTACTGTATAAATTAAATTTTATGCACAGATTATGATAAGTTATAACATGTTTTTCTTAAAAAACCGGTCTGAATGTAAGAATGGCCAGGGCAGGGCAAATTCGGGGATTCCTTTCCCACAGGGACAAGGATGGGGCTGGGATTTTCAGCCCCATCAAGGTATGGTGCAAAAACGGGTTGCGGTTCTTGTGTTCAGCATTGGGGACAGAATATGCAAAAACCGGTCTTGCCCTTCTCCGTTGCCATTCCTATAAGGTGGACAGGTCACAGATACATTTGAAAATTATATTTACTTTTGGAAAGAGAAATGAAAAGAAGAAGAARAACTCCTATGGCTGCGTTTCGAAACAATGTAAATATGTAGAGTGTAAAACGGTTTATATAAATTGTAAAATTGGATTAATTTTGCACTGACAAATTTACCTTCTTACCAAACAGACTTTAGCTGTAATGGATACAAACATGAATTCTAATAAACCCTATGTATTTTTTTATCAAAAGCCCACTTGAATGCAAATTTACTTCTTTTTTGATATACTTTTACATCTTATTATCAATGTAAATATGCATTGGTCTGTCATTTCTCAATGCATAAATGTAATGTTGCTAAAACACAGACAAAAGTGAACCAGAGTGCAAATTTACCCTGAACTGGGATTTACACTCCATTTGCATTGTTTCCAAACGCAGCTTATGAGTTGAACAGATTCCTCAATTGTAATTACTTGTGGCTAGCATTCTTAATAGCTGCCGAGGTTACGGTATCCTTTTCATTATATATTTCAAAACCAACACATACTAATCTTCGTTTCATTAAAATTGTCATATTTGTACAGAGAAAATTCTGCTATCTCCTAGCTTCTCTAATGGGTAAAACGTTCAATAAGGACTATATATGGTGCAGCTCTATTTATAGGTTTAGGGCCCTTTTAGGGCAGCTGATTGTTTGGGGTCAGAAATCCAGGGCCAATCATTGATAGATGTAGCTGCAATTATACTCCATCATGCTGGCTTTTCTCAGGATTAACTCATATTTTTCTACAATCCCCTACAATTGCTTGAAATGATGATCATTGTCATCATAGATGGTTTACAAATTACATACATATCTACTACTTCTGTAGTATAGAGAGAAAATAAATGGGCAACAAGCAATGGATTTTGAGAAATTACACTACCAGACCATTGCACAGAAGCATATTTCCATCTAAACAGACACCCTCATTAGATATTTAGATCTTGATATTTCCAAGAAATGTGCATAGACATATATAAAGGGAGAATAGAAGAAAATCTAGCTGAAACTAAGTAGACATGTCTAAGGTTCAAAATTTGTTTATAATGGCATGATCTGCTTCCAGTTCAATGTCATCCATGATCTACTGGTGCACTGAAACTTAACACATCCAAATGCTAAGATCCTATGATCAATGATAAACCGCCTTCCAGTCATATTTAAGAATGGATCTTTACTCAAAGAAATCATTAAATAAATAATCTTCCATGTAACAAATCTAAATAAACAAAACTGTGTTGTCATGATACATCAAAAAATGGGTATCCTCCTCATTACCCACAAAAATTACAAATTGATCCAATATAACTAATTTTCTATGTATCGGTAAGAAAACACCCCCATGGAAAGAGGAATTACTCGTTTCGGTTATACATGTCTTCATATTCTCAACTCCCTCTCTCTCCACTTTGTAGGTTGTTCAGTTGCACACTTGCACCAAAACTCAGTATAGCATGAATGTAGATAGAATTTCACAAAAATAAATAAATAAAAAAAGAAAAAAGAAAATCAAACCTTCTCATAGAATAAGATATAGGCTTCACTCCGGAGGACTTCTGTTAGAGAAACCTCACGTACATGAGCATCACTGACATAGTACCATGTGGATTCTTGTTGTCCACCATTGGTCTTACCTCTGCCTTTTCTGCCTCTCACATAAGCCACATAATGGCCTCCTCTCATGGTCCCAGAGTGCTCCACTACACCAACCAGACGGTACTCACACTTCTCTCTTTCTTCTCCACACCTGCAAAGTGCAATGAGAAAATATTTTCATTACCTTTTAACAAGATCAAATTCATGGTGCTATGCATGTATGCAGTTTCTATGAAATTGATTTGAATAATACAAAATCAATCCCATCAAATAAGCATGATAGTCCAAGCCATCTTATTTTATCTATTTTTTTTATTGGAAATGGTTACCTTTATTTAATTTATAAATCAGTACATTATACTAATCATCGCATTACAATGGGGTGAAAACCCCAATAAGAAGTTGCAATTACTAAACTACACAAAATAATGCACTCTATTACAGCTGTCTCAATTTAACTGACCAAAACCTTATCTTAATAATATGGGATCAACTAAATCAATTCTTTTTCACTACCCCACTCTACTAAGGACCATATTCTGTGCTAGATTATGATTCTCATGGTGTTACATGGGCATGGACTCAAGAATAGAATCTATAGAATCTGATGTATGTCATGTCCGGGTGTTTTGACTCTTGACTCAGCCAGATGAAAAAGCATGAATTCAGTATATGTCCAAATAAAAGTATATACCATTAAAATACTCTGTATGTTTTGAATTCTAACATTGTATACCTATGGAAATTTATTACTTCGCAATGCTCTATAGAAAACAAAACACTATTCATCATGTATATTAGTTGTTCATTTATGTCAAATAAGAAAGGAGAAAAAGGAAAATGCTATATAAAAGTGTTTCTCAAGAACTCATGAAGTATTGGAACCTAATGTGTATCCTACATGGACACTTCATCCATATAGGAGAGTCCGTGCAACACTCAATGATCAGAAGTGTATGTATGAATTAATATGCATAAAATCAAGCAAACTCCTTAGGAGACACCATTAACTGAACAAACTGAAGAATCCTAACACATCAAAATGTTAAATCTTCAATATGGAACTACAATGATGTTGTATTTATTAATGTTAGTGTCACAAGGGCATTTTTGACATTTTATATCTTTTGTATTGCTGCCCTATAAATAATAAAAAGGAGTGCCACCTATTTACTTTTGGCTCTCTATTTTTTCTTCTCGTGTTCTCCTCTCTTCTCTTGTCTCCTACCTCTTATTCCTTCTCTTTTCCACAAGTAATATGGTAGCAGAGTGAAGATCTGAGGCCTGAAAGCAGATTGTGGTAGTTTTTTCCTCTATTCTTCATCTTCCCTGGATCTAGAGACAGAACCACATCAATTTGATCAGAGATAGTTTTTTCCTACCTCTATCTTGGTCGTAGTACCAAGACAGTGATGTAGTTGTAGTGGCCAAATGCTGTAGAACAGCCTAGAAGCCCCTCGTGCCCTTTGTGGATCGTGTGATCCTCTTACGTTGAGGTTTGTGACCTGTGTTAGGTATGGTATGACTTATTAGCTCAGTAACAGTTGCAGAGTGCTGTTGCTTGATGTGTAAGTGACCTATTTTTGGTCCTGGAAGAATATGGTGGTGCTCCTAAAAGGGGAATTTAGTGTTGTTACCATTGTAGGCCATTGGTAGAGGCTTGTTTTTGGGTCTCGGCTTGCTAGGAAGGTGTTGGTTTGCTCCCAAGAGCGGTGTTTTCCTTATTACCCTTTTGTTTGATAAGTAAAAAGAAAATTTATTAAAATCAAATAAAATAAATAGTACATCCTTGATAGGCGTTAAGGCAACACCTGATAACAAAAACAGAACAAAAAACATCACAATTTCAAATCTCCATCTCACGATTTTGTAACCCCACAACCTCCAAAATCTTTCTCCTAGATCTCCCGGAAGCTGAGAGAACTCAGGTAATATCAGAGCCCAGACTACATCAGATTTTCCAACAGCTAACACTAGTTTGTCCAGCTTCCACTCCTTGTCTTCAGAGATTCCTCAATTCCTTACTGACACCCTTCTTATTACCGTGTAGACGGCAGTGAATAGTCTTCCTTAAGGTGTGCTCTCATGGCATCTGACGATACTGCCACCTATAATGTTTCTTGTAGTTAGGGAGGACTGAACAGTAGAGTGGACCATATGAGTTTTCCCAAAAAATTACCCCAGTTGATGGTACGAACTACCTAGCATGGTCCAATGAGCTTAAACTGTACATCACAGCTAGGGGTAAGATTGGCTACCTAACTGGAACTGTAAAGGAATCAAAATCTGGAACTGCAGAACATGATAAATGGAATCAAGAGAATTGTTTAATTATGTCCTGGTTGCTTACATTTATGTTGCCTTCAGTTAAAAATAACTTTATATGGGCTGATACAGCCCGAAAAATCTGGGAGCGGGCCAAGTCTCCTTACTCAGAACAGAGACATTATGCTCGGATTTACCAGTTACAAGCAGAACCCTCTAAATTTAAGCAAGGGGAACAGATCTTATCATCCTATTACTCAACCCTTACTTCAGTTTGGAAGGAACTTGATTATTACCAAAATATTGAGTGGAAGAATGAAGATGCCAAGGCCTATAAAAAGTTGGTGTCCAAACAGCATGTTTTTGCCTTATTACTTTTTTTATCAGCAAAGAAGAATTAATTTTATTAATCAGTGACAAACAGGTGCCAAGTTACAATACAGCCAACACTTCAACAAAGCCAAAGAAACTACAGTTGTTCTCAAGGATTTAAATATTGATATGATACGCCCCGTACAGGATACACTATGAATAGAAGTGTATCCCGAAATCGTTCGTATCAAACCGATACAAATGTGTATCGGGCTGTATTGCATTGTATCGGCCGATACGGATCAATACACGCAATACGCCATATCCATTTATTCTCTAGAAAAAACATAACATGATGGTTCAAACTCTGGTCACCCAGAGGGCGCCAACTTACAACGCGCCTCAGAACCATCTAGCCATATTTCATCTTGTGATAATAAATAAAACAAAATAAATTTTATTACTTTTTGCGTCTATATGCAATTTAAACAAAAACCACATGTCTATATTTAACAATTCTAACCATTATTCAAAACAATAATACTTAAAAAAAAGTATTTTATAAACTAATAGAACAAATGATCTACCAAATCCACATTTACATAAAAGATTATTTTTAATATCAAAAAAATTATACAAGTAAAATATTAATAATAGAATAATTATTTTAATAATTAATACTTAAATTTATAAATTTCCACATGATATGCATCTTAAAATTTTTATATATTTTTACAAATTATTAATTAATATTTTAATTTACATTAATAAGTAGTAACAACATATTTATTATTTACAAAAAAATAAAAATATTGTTTATAAAATATTGAAGAATATAATATTGAATTGAATCTATCAAATCCACTAATCTACATTTATTTCAAAACACGATTTTTTATTTCATATAATTTATAGAAATAAAAATATTAATAATGGAATAATCATTTTAGTAGTTAAAAATTATGAATTTGTATATGATATGTATCTTAGAAATTTTAACAAATTTGATATACTTTAAGTGAAAATTATATTTTTATGAATTATTAATTGATATTTTTAATTTGCACTTGAGGATTTAATATTTAGTTGCTTTTTTGTTAATGCTAAAAAAATTAAATAGTAAAATAAAAATAATTGATATAATAATTAAAATATAATATGTGCATGTGTTTGGTGTTTTGAACTCTTGACTAATGCACTATAAATAAAATTATATGATATCTACGCATTCCGGTATATTAAGTGTAATACATTTCTTCATATATATCATTAAAATATACATTTTCTATGCATTTATATACTATTTGTGATTATTTTGGTCTTAAATTTAGTGTTATTAATGTGTTTGTGGAATTTGTATGTATTTTCTAGTGTATCCATGTGTTTTCATTTTTTTTGTCCGTATCCATGCATTCCCAAAGCATATCCATATCTGTATCTGAATCTGAATCTGAATTGTTCGACACGATACCTGATACCGATACTTTAATCCTTGCTTGGGCCGAGTCCTATATATGAGCCTATTAGAGTTCAGATTTTGGGCAGCAAAGACCTTCCTTCTGTCCACGAGGTGTATGCACTAGTCCAGACTAAGGAAAGTAGGACGAATGCAATGAATGCTCCTGAGGGGGGAGCAGATAGCCTTGGCTGGCTAGGGGAGGCATGAGTGGTATGAGTCCTGCAAAGGTTAATTTCAGAAGAAAGGGGATGACAAGGACAAGCAATGGTGTACTCATTGTCAGTGTTTTGGAATTTGGACAAGCAATGGTGTATCTTCCTAGCAGAAGATACATGATATATTATACTTAATAGTAGATACATAGCATTTATTTGTGTTTGTTTAGAATCTTCCCTCTCATTCAAGATTGAGAAAATGGTGCCTCAACAATAAAATATTCTATATTGCGATACAATTACACGGATAGGCTGTGGTCAAACCAAGATTTATAGCTCTATTGATCAGACTTCAAGATTTGGTGTTACTGATCAAAGCAATGGAATCATGAGATTCTAAGGAGAAACATCTCATGCAAGATAGTCATGTCCCTTACCCCCAAGTTTTTGTTTAACTAGTAAAAGTTACTCCATGTACAAGATCTATAATTGGATGAATAAAGGACAAAACCTTATGACACTTGTGATTTGCTTAAAAAGAGGAGACCTAATTGCTGCTTATCCCCCTATTGGTGTGTCCATTACAAAGCCAATGGTGAGACTTGCTATCACTAGCTAATCTCCTGTCTATTTGTTGTATGCATCTAGGATCGGTTTTTCTCTTTGTTTGGCTGTAGATAGAACCTTCCATCTATTATGGCAAGCTTGTTTGCTCCTACAACATTTGTTTGGCCAAAGAAAAGGAGAAGAACCATGTGGAGAAGTACCAAGGCCGCAATCATTTGGACAATTTGGGAAGAAAGAAATGTAAAATATTTAATAGAAAAGGAAAGAAGGAACCTATAATTGAATGTATAACTTCTAGTGTGGCTCATTGGGTGAAATATATGGAGAGCCTTTCATCTTTTTCAATTGATGACATCATTAAACATGGAAGTGGTGGGAACATCCACAACTAAG